AAAAGAAAGTGTATAAAATTCTGAGTACTTTGATAAAAAAAATTAACCCTGAAAATCATTTGTTTCAAAGCTAGATTTGAAAAACTGAAAAATACTTGATTTTTGTTAAAATCTCGAAAAAAGTGGTTTTTTGCAGAAGCTATATCTCGGTCAATTTTTGAGCTACAGTGTTCATTTTTTATCAAATTACTTAGAATTTTATATACTTTCTTTTTTATAATCATTATTTTTATGCCAAAATGTCATGGAAGGCGGCAATTTGAAAAAACTGATTTCTTGCACCTATTTCTTAAAAAAATTTTAGATTCCGGTAGGAGTTCAAAGTACCAAATTTAAGTACTTTATTTTTATCCCAAAATGAAGGGTTTAAGCAAAAAATTGAGGTCCTGAGTTAAAACATTAAAAAATGCTAACTTGACTGGACTAAAGGTCCATCTGTACGGCTTGCATAAGCTTAGGTAGGGTAGTAATGATAGAGGCTCTGGCAGGTACAGTTTAAGGTCGTCTGCAAATTTAATATACTTGAACAATTTAAGCTGGCGCCCAAGGTTAGCGATGTGTACGTTAAAAAGAAAAGAGGCATGAGGGGAACCTTGTGGTACTTCACATTCAATCATTTTCCATTCAGATTGCTCGCCTTTACTATTTACAATACTCTGGTATCGGTCAGTTAAACATGATCTGATGCAATCACATAAGACATGAGAAGCATTATGAGATAAAATTTTTTTAAAACTAAGCTATGATCAACTAAATCTTACGCTTTTGAGAAATTAAATAATATTTCTGTTAAATAACGAAAATCGAGATCACTGAGAAAAAGATTATTTATTGTATAAAAGATGGTGGATGTGTTTGGTACAAAGTTACCAAGCGAACTGAACCCTTTCTCACGGGGGTAAAACACAATGTAAAACTGAAGGCAGAGCATACGAGTCATTGAGTAACTATAAAATAATTGTACATTTGTTTCAGCAGTTTTGAGTGACAAATAAAGCAGGATATTTGAATCCATATATTTTTATAAGTAAAACACTACAATAAAAAGAAAACACAAAATTTACGAACTAATTTCAATAAACAAATCTTTTTCAATGAATTAATATTTAAATTATAGTTCAGAAAAAGACTTATTATTGAAATTAGATCATTAATTTCTGTTTTCCTTTTATTGCAGTATTTTGAAATAAAAACTTATTAAAAATATGAAAATTGTATCAATTTTCATTTATTAAAAATAATATAATACCTATATTAATAAATACAATAAATAATAATATAATAATATTTAATAATTATTATATATAATTGCCATAAATTTTTTTTTAAATAAAAAAAACTCAATCAAATGAAATTTAATTAATATAATAATAATTTAATATTTTAAAGCTAAAAGTAAATTATTTATAAATTTTTGAATATGATGTATCTTAATGACTATTAAGGAGAAATAATAACACTAAAAACAATTTTTAAATAATTTATTAGGGACACTTAAACATCAATAAGTCTTACATATAAAATAGAGTTAAAAATTTTTAATAAATATTTTACTCATTTCCACACCACCACTGAGGTAGAGTTAATTGGTGCGCTTTTTTTCATTGTGGTTCCCCAGTAGGCCTCATCCACAAGGAGGCACTTGAAAAAGCGTATGTAAATTTACTATTGAATTAACGTTATTATAAATAAAAATGCTCAAATACAACTAATTTTGATATTCTTTTGCATTATAGATTACAAATTAATTTTAATAAGTCCGCTAGGTGGCAGCTACTAAACACGTGTTCACATGTGTCTCGGTTGATTTTGTTTAAATAAAACGGTTTAAGTTTGGTCTGTTCTTTTACAACCTTATAGTTATAAACATTATTTTGTGCTGGTTTTTAGTGAAAGTTTTTTATTATCTGCACCATTTGCCTTAACTTGGCTCTCTGATTTGAATTTTTTCTAACCTAACATTGGACTGATATACTTGTGTGAAGTTTTTTGTTTATGTAACTTAAATTGGAACTGCTTTCGCTCAATTTACTTTTTATTTTTATTTGAATGATTATTTGTGTGCAAAAATGGCCTCTAGTGTTGAAAATTGTGCAAAATGTGGTAAAGATATTACACGTGCTATTCCTACTTTGTGTAGGAAGTGTAATCTTCCTTATCATCCCAGCTGTGCATTACAGCTGTCTACTTTGCCTGATGGGTCGTTCACCAAATGTTGTAAACCTAGGTCATTGTCTCCTTCAAATAATTCTCAATCTCAATCTTCACAAACCTCTGTTAACTTGGATAGTATTTTGAGAGCTATTAAGGTTTTATCAACAACAGTTTCTGATAATTTTGCCAATATGACTGAAAATATGTCAGATATCAACAAAAAACTTGATGACACACTGTGTAGGCTGAGTAATATGGAAAGCAGAGTTGTTGATTTGACGGAGCGTCTTAATGTTGTCGAAGAGAGACTTGATAAATCTGAAGCAAATGGTTCTACAAATATTGATTCTAATTCAGTAACTAATGTCTATATAAATGAACTTGTTGATCGAAATGAAAGAAAGAACAATCTTGTTTTATTTAATCTTCCAGAATATGACACTTCGTCAAATAATAGTTGTTCTTTGAAATCTGTGGTTACGACTAAATTAAAAAAATTCATTCAAACAGATGATCTTGAAAATATACGCACATTTAGAATTGGTTCTAATGCGCAGGTTTCTCGTAAGCCTCGCCCTGTTAAGATTGTATGTGAGACGGAAGAGAAGGCACAAGTAATTCTAAAAAAATTTGTAAGTGTCAAAAGAGACTCAACACGTTCAAGGGAGTTGGAAGATCTTTGGATGTCGAATGACAGGACGGTTATGCAGAGGGAGGAGATTAAGAGAGTGAGGGAGGAACTAGAGACCCGTCGATTAGACGGAGAAATGAATGTGTCAATGGTCTACCGGCGTGGAATCCCTACCATAATTAAAATCCCCCCTAGAAATCGCACATCCACTCTTACAGTCCAAATAGATGCGTGTAAGGAGAATCTGTAGTGATTTCCCCACTTGGTGCCCAAGGTTGTGTCCCTTCCTTGAAATAAACTTACTTTATTTCTATCTATGAAAATGATTTAAGGAAATACATACAGAACTAAATGTAGACATTGTGATTTATAGAAAATCAGTATTATTGAACAATAACAATTATTTTTGATATTAATTGATATAATGGTAAAGCAGATTCAATTTATCAAAAATTAATCTTCTCCTTTGATAATAATGTAATTAGATTTATGTTATTCTTTACTGTATAAACTTATACTGAACTTTAACCATTATAGCGCCTACCTAGATTTAGTTAATATTTTATATTTTGTATTGTTACTTACGTAACTTTTAGAATTTAGGAGTACTTTTGTACGAAAGGGCATGTCCCGTTAATAAATGAAATTGAAATTGAAATTAATGCTTATTATTTTGCAATTTAATAATTAAATTTTCTATTCTAAGCTATTATACTATTAAAAGATTTGATTACTAATAGCAGTAAAATAGTAACAACCCCTTTGAATGCATAATTTTACAAATTAAAATTTGGCATACATGAAAAATTAATAAAATAAAAATTCTTTAAAACGGTTGGTTGGATTAATAAAAATTGTGTATTGTGAAAAAAAGTTGAATAAAAATTCTACCAAATATTAAATCGTTAAAATTTAATTTTTGTGAAAGAACAATCTGTTTTTTTTAATTTTGTCAAGTTTATAGATTTTTAGTGCTTATTTTCATGTGCCTCTCAACAATAATAATTTTTATCTATGTATTACACGCATTTAAAATAATTGTACACATGCACATCATTCAGGAATTCTCTTTTATATAAAAAAAGATGTGGATACAGAAAATGTATGAAATGTATAATGTATTGGATCACAAGTTATAAAAATACTATGTACATTTTATACTTATAATCAAACAAGAAAATTGAAATTCGGAAGCCGTAAAATACCCAGTGAACATAATCTTTATGAATATTTAAAAAATAATTGTAAATTGATTGACTTTTACGTTTATAAATATAAGTTAAAAATTATAATACTAATAGAGTGTCTAACGGTCAGAGAAGTTTAGAAAATATTTTATTTCAAAAAAGTAAAAATTTAATATCATTAAATTAAAAGTTAAAATTTAATTTTGAATAATTTTTCAAAATGTCTTTGAGTAAAAACGGTAAAAAACTTTTAAAAAAGTAAGTAAGTAGGTGTACCTGGTTATTCTACTAAAATTTCATAAATATATTTTACTTTTAAAGAACGTATTTGCTTCTTTGGTTTACTTTAAATGGAAGGTATATAACAAAACTTATAAATACTTTTTGGTATTTTGAATCACAATAAGTAATAAAATACTGAATTTAAAGAACTAAACTATTTTTTTTTGTTATTTTTTAAAAGGAAACGAAAAACTTTAAATTAGAAGCTGTTAAATTTGAAAATAAAGCCTTTATTTATTTATAGGATTGAAAACAGTGAATTCCTATTTTGTTTACCACAAGGCCCAAGAACTTAAAATCGCTTTATAATGTTAAAAAGTACTCGATTCTTCATTTCGTCTGTGATTTCAGCACATATCATTTTATTTAAAGTTTTTGAATCGCAAATTTGTGCACGTAAAAATATAATTAAACGCATATGTGGCAATCCCCGCTTTTTTCTTCTCTATGAAAGACGATACATATAAAATTGTAAATGAATAAAATTACAAGTACCTTGAGTATACTTAAGGTTAACAGTCCATCCAGGATCACCATAAGGAAATATTGTAGGATCATGGGTCATGGGATCAAAATAAGACAATAAGACCCGAAATTATTTTCTCATTATTTTCTGTTGTACATACTGAATTTATATCAACATGTAAATCCCTCCTCAATTCTTTAATTGGAAAAATTAAATGACGCATTTGTAAATACAAAGTACTTTGCATAATGAAAAAATAATTTGTATCTTTTCTCAATCATTTTTAAAATTTATACATATGCATATAATTTAGAATTTCATTTACATATTCAATAATTTAAAAATCTTTATTACTTAAAATAAAATACTCTTTTATGTTCGACATGGTAACCTTCTTCAAATTTCAAGCTCCTGCTAAAGTCACTTTTCAAAACAAATCTTCCATTTTAGTTTCCTGCTTTAGAAAATTTATTTGGGTGATTCTCTCAAAAAGGACTAATGACGCTTTCTCGGTAATCTGTTCAAAAATAATAAAATTGATTGAAATTATTAAAAATTCTGTAACCCATACGTTAAGTTTTAACAATTTTCAATCGAATAACTAAAGAGAAATTCCAAAAAAATTTGTCAAGTGCGAGTTACACTCGCTTACCTAGGGTTCCCTTCACGATTATTTAAATATTTATATATGTTTAAATAAAATAATTTTCCGGTAATTTTCTTTAAATTTTTTTTATTTATTTTGACATATTTCTCAGAATTTCACGATTACGAGAATATGTTGTTCCAAATATAAATGTTAATATTCAAAAGTTTTATAATTTTGGTACAATAAACCTATACGATGTGTTTTAAACCAATTTAACCCAAAGGTGCTAGCACTAAAGATTTTCTTCTTGATTTTGATTGTCCAATATGGTTATAGGTCGGGCGCGGCTGGTAAGATGAGGGACACCACTTCCCCTTACAGGACAGTAATTAAGCGATCATCGACCATCTTATATAAACAATAATAGAAAATAAACCCTCAACCGAAGGCTGTTTTTGACGAAACAAATTGCAGGTAGAAACCCTCGAGAACCCTCATTATCAAAGCAAAGATATATATGTATATATAATCTAATAATAACGAGAAATTTCAAGTGCTAAGAAAATGTGAATGAATGAAGGAAGGCATGAATACAAAGATTATTCTAAGATAATTGGTTCTGTTAAAATATCTGATACTTCCTTAAGCATTTCTTTACTAATTGGGGTTGGTTCATTTTGAAAAGTAGAGCTATCTTCTGAATTATTTAATTCGTTAAAATGGGGCACATCTGTTGAAGTTTAACCATTATTATCAACAATTGGAACATTAATATTTATCATTTGACTATCATCATTTAGAAGATTTGGAAATATTTCATTATTTTCATAGATATTTAAACGTTACTCGACTCAGAAGTAGCTTGAACAGTGGTACCAAAAGATTGTGTGACTTCAATTGGTGTTTCTTGTGCATTAATAATAATTGATTCTTGAAATGAACGCGGCTCGGCATTGTACATTAATTTTTTTGTTTGCGGATTCGCGTAGTCCTCATCTAAAAAGTGTTTTTCGCAAACATTAAAATCATCACAAATTATTTCGAAATCAATTTACCAAGCAGTTTGCCACTTTCTGCAGCATGCTTCGTTTTGTGGAAATCTATGAAATATATTTTGAATATTTTCATCAAGCTCTGAATAACACTTTGAATCACAATTTGGAAACTTACACGATTTTTTAACGCGCGGCGCCATCACAAATTTATGTTAAGCACGTTAATATAAGAATAATTTTAAAGCTTTATTCTTTTAAAATCCAAGATTAGATATATCACAAATATTATTATGCAGTACAGATATCAGAAGACCTTACATCATGCTAAAAAAAAAATTTAAGCTACATCTCAATAAAAAAAAATCTTCAACCCATTCGAATAAAAAAACTCTTCTGAGATCAACTGCCACTAGAATTACATATAAAAAAAATATCACATTAAACATTTACACTTAAAATTTATAATAAAAAAAATATTTAAAATAAAAAACCTTGCTGTTTATATATTGGCTAATCTGTCTTTTAAAATGACAGTTAATTTTTTCAACATAACAAATATTGTAAATTTATACAATTCTAAAAATTTTTATAACATATGACATAACATGTTTAATAACAGAAAAAAATTTACATGATGTTTTATTAGAAACGAAAAAATTTTAAATTGGTTTAAGTCCATTTTTACATTCTCATCATAAATGAGAAAGTATTCGTTTTGGTTGATTTTGACCAACTTCTAATTCATGTAAATCTCCACGTTTTGAGACCTCCTGATGCCAAAAAAATAGGTTTTGAAAACCTGTCCGTCTGTCTGTCGTCTGTCGTCTGTCGTCTGTCGTCTGTAGTCTGTCTGTAGACACTTTTTTGTCCCCACGATAACTTGAACAAATCTTAACGAATCGCTTTGAAATTTGGTATACTCTTTCAACATGTAAAAATGAAGCCTGAGTTCGTCGGACAGACTTATCCGCCCAAAAATTCAAAAATTATTCAAATTTTGAATTTTTAAAAAATTCAATTTTTCTCAAATTTTAAAAAAAAAATTTTTTCTTAATTTTTTTTTGTTAAAAATGGGAGTTAATTTCTATCATATATTTTTTGATGTCTTTTTTAAAACTCGAATTATTATTATTATTATAGTACTTGTACTTTTATCAGAACAAGAAAAATTTTATTTCACAATTTATAAAATTATATCTACATATATTTTGGTTATATTATTTAATTTTGAAAAAGCAAAATCGATGCTTCCCGTTGATAAGATGCCCGTTCATTTGTCAGAATAATAAAATGCCAACTCGAGCTAAGTTCAATATGAAGCTAGTTCAATTGTCAAAATAATAAAAGGCTAACTCAGTTTCCGTATAATATAATCCTATCTCGCATTAAATTCAAATTCAAGTTTTCGTAAATTAAAAAAGAAGTTTAAGTCGATAAGAATATTAATTCATACTTTTTAATGATTAATAATTATTAATAAAATAAGAAATAGAATAAAAAACAAATCATAAAATAAATGAAAATAAAAAATATTATTTTAAATTGAAAAAAATTAATTTAGCCTTGAATTATTTATTACTAATATTATTTTTTTATTATAATTTTTTTATTAATTTTTTAAATTAATTATTAATTAATGATTAACAAAATCAAAAAAATTAATTATTAATTAATGATTAGCAAAATCAAAAAATTAATAAAAAATTATAATAAATAAATACAGTGGAACCTCGATTATCCGAACATCTATTATCCGAACCCTCTATTATCCGAACCGAAAAACATTTTATCCGAACTTCTATTATCCGAACTATTTTTTGGACTCCCGAATTTTAAATTTTATTTTCTCTATTTATTTTATCATTCATTCATTTCTGAGAAGAATGCGTGATTTGGCATCTAAAAAACGAATAGATGCTATATCTTTCAAAGCAAAATAACCAAATTTATGCCAAAAAAATCTTAAAAATTTCCGAATTTTCTGAGTTTTTAATATATTATTAATTAATATATATTTACATATATGTATATACTTATGTATATTTGAAAACATATGTATTAAGTTAAATATATAGTTCAACTGTACATTTTTTTACTTTAATTATAAAAAAAAATTAAAATCTCTACTATCCGAATTTTCGATTATCCGAACACAGCCTTGCCTAGATTAGTTCGGATAATCGAGGTTCCACTGTAAACAAATAATAAAATAATTGTAATTAGATGTTAGTTTTAGTTTCGACTTGTGGCTGAGTATATCATAGGTATAGGTGTAAATATTACAAGTTTCATGTCAAGTCAATGTATAAAATATGTATTTTGTTATTGTGAACTTAAAAATTATTCCTGCAATATTGCATTACAAACTTACAAAAAATATGGGAAATATTGCACGATGGTGACATTATGTTATATAAAAAAGTATAAAAAAGTAGAGAAAAAATATAATAAAAGTGTCAAGCGTACACACAGCAGACGTCACTAAAGGAGTTTATAAACACATTGATTATGGTGGGGGAGCTAAAGTGTTATACATAGTTTACGTAGACTTAAAGTACAGATCACAGTTCGTTGGTTTGTTTTTATTTTTATGTTATAAGTTAATGTATTCTAGTATTAATAATGAAATTCTTATAAGATCTATTCAAAAATTGCGTGTCTGTTTTAATATTAATGGAATTAGAGTTTCTCATGATATAAAACATTTCTAGAAAATTTCTTTTATACCAATTTAATTCTGAATCTAAAATTTTTGTATTATTAAAGTTGAACGGGTGATCTAAATCATGGGAGTGGCGAACCAGCGCTGTTACATGTGTATCTTTAGCACAATCCCTTTTGTGTTCATAAATTCTCTTTTTTAATTTTCTATCAGTTTGACCAATATATACACCATCACAACTACAACATGGTATTTCATATATGACATTCGATTTGTCGAGAAGCGGTGTCGGATCCTTCATAGATCGGAAGATGTCAACATTATTTTTTTCTGTTTGCAAAACTGGTGTTAGATCGTGTTTTTTACAAATTATACTTAATTTCTTATGCAATTCATGAACATATGGTAAAACTACTATTTTATCGAATTGAAAAGTGTTTTTAACTTGATTATTTAGTCCGTTATAGTTAAAAATTCTATTTAATCTTTTGTGCATGTGTCTATTAATAAATTCCATAGGGTAGTTGTTTTGGATCAAAACTTCCTTTATCAAGATGATGTTCCCCCACCATAATCAATGTGTTTATAAACTCCTTTAGTGACGTCTGCTGTGTGTACGCTTGACACTTTTATTATATTTTTTCTCTACTTTTTTATACTTTTTTATATAACATAATATCACCATCGTGCAATATTTCCCATATTTTTTGTAAGTTTGTAATGCAATATTGCAGGAATAATTTTAAGTTCACAATAATAACAACTAATCGATTGTTTAATATTTTAGTGTTACTGAAGATGATCAACGTGATGTGATCGAAAAGTTTCTAATTAAGCAAAATTCATATTATATACATTGACTTGACATGAAACTTGTAATATTTACACCTATACCTATGAAATAATAAAATAAATGAAAATAAAAAAAATTATTAAAAAAGAAAAAAATTAATTTAGCCTTGAATTATTTATTACTAATATTATTTTTTTTATTATAATTTTTTGATTTTGTTAATCATTAATTAATAATTATTTAAAAAATTAATAAAAAAAATAATATTAGTAATAAATAATTCAAGGCTAAATTAATTTTTTTCTTTTTAGGGTTCCGTACTCGGTTCGGAACCCTATTAATATCGGTTTTTTTGAAATCGTGTACCCCCCCTAGCGGCCACACGAATTTATCTGGAAAGCTGAAATTTGGAACACATATGTATTTTTGCGTGCAGATTACAGGAAAAATATAGGGAACCTGATAGGAATTGATTATCATAGCGTTGTCAAGGAAAAACCATGAATTTTTACGAAAAATACCTAAAAATGACTATGTACCCCCCCCCCTAGCGGCCACATCTTTTGACATAAAGAGCTCAAATTTGGTACACTTACGTATTTTTACGTGAAAATTACAGGAAAAATATAGGGAACTTGATTCGGATCAATTTACATAGCGTTGTCAAGTAAAAATCAAAAATTTCGAAAAAAATGATTTATTCTCCCTAGCGCACATAATATTCAACCCAAACTGTTCATATTTGCTGCAAAACTGTATTTTTGCGTGAAAAATACAGGGAAAAAATGTAAGCGCGATTGGAGTTGATGATCAATTTTTATCAAATTTTTGAAGAAAAATGATAAATTTAATAAAAATTGTATTTTTCCGCAAAAAACGAAAAAAATCGGACAAGTGCGAGTTACACTCGCACTGAAATCGAGGGTTCCGTACTCGAAGCGAACTTATTTGGTATAAAAACAAATGTTTAAAAAATATGTGTTGTATATATGTGATACAAAAAGAAACAATTTAAAAAAAAATTTGAGAAAATTGTTTCTCCTTTGGTATAAAAACAAAAAAAATTTAAATATGTGTTGTATTTCAAATAATATAAGTGATACGAAGAAGAACAATTTTCTTAAATTTTACAAAATTGTTCCTTTTTGTATCACTTATATTATTTGAAATACAACACATATTTAATTTTTTTTTTGTTTTTATACCAAAGGAGAAACAATTTTCTCAAAATTTTTTTTAAATTGTTTCTTTTTGTATCACATATATTATTTAACATACAACACATATTTTTTAAACATTTGTTTTTATACCAAATAAGTTCGCTTCGAGTACGGAACCCTCGATTTCAGTGCGAGTGTAACTCGCACTTGTTTAATAATATTTTTTATTTTCATTTATTTTATTATTTGTTTTTTATTCTATTTCTTATTTTATTAATAATTATTAATCACTAATTAATCATTAAAAAGTATGAATTAATATTCTTATCGACTTAAACTTCTTTTTTAATTTACGAAAACTTGAATTCGAATTTAATGCGAGATAGGATTATATTATACGGAAACTGAGTCAGCCTTTTATTATTTTGACAATTGAACTAGCTTCATATTGAACTGAGCTCGAGTTGGCATTTTATTCTGACAAATGAACGAGCATCTTATCAACGGAAGGCGTCGAATGTAACAAAAATTCTGCAGTAATAATAATTCGCACATTTCAAACTACTACAATTACAACTATACTACAAAAATAACAGAAATTCTTCTTTCCTTTAATATTAACTACATCATAGGTTATGCAAATTATTTTTTTAACAATTAAATCTGCTGTACAAATTATAAATTTTGAAATATAAAAAGAATTAATTTTTAAATATTTCCTTTAACAATCATAATTAAATTCATACAATCTGTTCAAAAATAATGATTAGTAATTTGCATAATATCATGTTTATTCAATTACAGGGTGTCTAACAACTTCTAGAAAAAAAATTCCCTTACATTTCCGAGACATTTCATTGATTTTTCCACTAAAAATTTTTTATTTTGATCGAATAAAATTTATTTTGATACAATTAAATCATTTACCAAACCAAGTCCACTTAATTCTGGACCGAAAGGCTGAAGCTTAATAAATAAATAATCAACTAATTTTATATGTATTGGAACCAAATAAATACTGTTTCGTAAAAAATAAAATATTTAAGTGAAATAAATAAACTAATTGGAGACGTATAAATATTCTCAACATTTAATTTAAAAGAATTTTTACAGCGTGAAATCTAACATTATCAAATTTTTATTTAGTAAAATTACGTCTATATAAAGCAGATTTTCTAGTACATCGAATTTCAAATTAATACAATTTAATTTAACGGAATTTATTTCTAGAAATAATGCATAAAGACAAATTTTTTTAACAGAATTGTTATTTTAGTAAATTTTGATTTATTAAAATATTAATATAACAGAATTCTCATTTGAGAAAAATTCTACTTAATTCTTTTTTTGACAATTTTTATAGACATAAATTTCATTAAATTGAAATTATATTAATTTAAAATTTAAAAAGAGTATTCGAAAAAATGCTTTATAAGACTTCTGCTAAATAGAGTGGTGCCGTAATTTTCCCCAAATCTCAAATGTCATAATATTCATTTGACATAAAACCAGTTGACATAACCAATATTTGTCATAATTTTTTTGGTCATAATTTTACTTTAGCATAAATTTTAATTGACATACTAATTATTCAGCATAATTCGCATTTGACAGAATGTTTATTTAGTATAAGTTATATTCGGTATAACTTTCAATTGTCAAAATTTTTATTTGGCATAATATACATTTGTCATAATCTTTATTTGACATAATTTTCATTGATCATAATTTTAATTTGGCATAATTATCATTCATCATAAAATGTATTTGATATAATGTTCATTCGTCATAACTACTTTTTGACATAATATTTATTGGTAATAATTCTTAACTGGTATAACGCTAATTTAACATAATGACTATTGGACATAATGCTCATTTTTCATAATTCTTAATAATCATAACTGTCATTTGTAATAATCACTGTTTGATATAATGTTTATTATTAATAATCAGCAATTGACATAACGCTTATTTAGTATAATGTGTATTTGACATAATGTTCATTTGTCATAATTTGCATTTCACAAAATGCTCATTTGTCATAATTCTTATTAGTCATAACTTTCATTTGTCATAATTTTTATTTGGCATAATTATCATTTAGTATAAAATATATTTGATATAATGTTTATTCGTCACATCGATTGTTTAATATAATTTTCATTTATAATAATTCTTAATTGGCATAAATTCAATTTAACATAATTGTTATTGGATATAATGTTAATTTGTCATAATTTACAATTCTCATAATGCTCATTTGTCATAATTCTTATTAGTCATAACTGTTATTTGTCATAATTACTGATTGACATAATGTTAACTTTTTATAATAAGCACTTGACATAATGTTTATTTCGCATAATTTAAGTTTGACATAATGTTCATTAGACATAATTTTAATTTGACATAATGTTCATTGTTCATAATTTTTATTTGTCATAATTATCATGCAGTATAAAATGTACTTGATATAATGTTCATTTGTCATAACTATTTTATGACATAATGTTTATTTGTAATAATTTTTAATTGGTATAACACTAAATTAGTATAATGTATATTTGACATACTGTTCATTTGTCATAATTTTCATTTGACATAATTCCCATTTGTCATAACTTTATGTGTCAACGATTTTTTGCTGTATCATTCCATCCTTGGTTTTTTAATTAGTAGTTTGTATATGTTGGTAAAGTAGATTAGGTGGCGCTGTCTAATATTTCTGAAATTAATTCTATCTTGCTTTTAAATATGAAAATTACAATTTTAATATTGTACAATTTTTTAATGTCATCATTATTAATATGAATTGTCATATTATTTTAAAAAAAATGTAATTGAATTGTACAATATTAAAATTG